GTGGACCTGACCTTTATGACGATGAAGGAGCAACTTGACATGGATATTCTTCAATGGTGGAACCAACATGAAAGTCGATTCCCCATTATATCCCAAATGGCATGTGACATTTTATATGTGCCGGTTTCTACAATTGCATCCGAGTCAACATTTTCAAAGAGTGGTCGGATTGTTGAAGATAGAAGATGTTCTTTAACCGATGAGATGATTGAAGTGATAACGTGTTTACGGGATAAGACTCATGCAGGTACAATGGAAGTAGAAGTGGAAGTGGAACGTCTAGGAGAGGCAATCAGGACCTTGATGCAGCCCCCCCTCAAGGATCGAGCAAGTGGGCATATGTGGAACGTGGCGGAAGCTCCAGCTCGTACATACATGGACCAAATGAGCTGACTCGCTACCTACAGGTGGACCTGACCTTTATGACGATGAAGGAGCAACTTGACATGGATATTCTTCAATGGTGGAACCAACATGAAAGTCGATTCCCCATTATATCCCAAATGGCATATGACATTTTATCTGTGCCGGTTTCTACAATTGCATCCGAGTCAACATTTTCAAAGAGTGGTTGGATTGTTGAAGACAGAAGATGTTCTTTAACCGATGAGATGATTGAAGTGATAACGTGTTTACGGGATAGGACTCATGCAGAAAGAAGACTACAACAGCACCCTGAAGATTCCAAACTACTCGAACTCTTTAGGAATACAGATTTGAATAATGTAACTAGTGTCGATGATGAAATTGAAGATGAATAATTTAATAAAAAATTATTTAATTGTTTATTTGTGAAGCGTGAATGTGTGAAATGTGAATATTACATTTATGTTAAAAATTAAAATTAACTATTAATTTATTATTTTTTCAAATTAATTAAATTTTGAGAAACTTACTAATCAACCCCTAAAAAATACTAAAAACCCCTTATAAGACTTCATTTTGCCTCTAAAATATAAAAAAAAATATCAGGGGAAAAAAAATTATCCAAGCCCATAGGACCAGTCCCGACCAGGCCTAGGGCTTGGTCCGAGTCCTGGTTTTTCTCATGGGCCTAGGACTGGTCCCAGGCCCATGAGTGACTGGTCCCATTTAGGACCAGTCCCAAATGGGCCCAGGCCTGGGCCCGTAAGGGATCGGTCCCTGCCCAGCTCTATCTATGATGCTGATGAAATATCTACAATCTCCCAAAGATGGATATTTAGTTGGTCCCCATATATCTGAATGGATATAGTCTAAAATAGCCTTAGAACAGTGGCTTCCCACACTAAATTTGATTTTGTTCATCTTCCCATAAATGCAGTGATCACAGAAAACCAGCTTCTCTAATTTATCTCCTCCTAGAACCTTTTGCTTACCCAGCTCAACTATTCCTTTTTCACTAATATGCCCTAACCTCCTATGCCATAAAGTTGTCTTATTAGACTTTTGAGATAAGGATACTGCTGCTATTCTAGTGATGGTTGAACCATTTAGAATATACAGCCCATTCCTTATCTCACCCTTCATTACAACTAAGGACCCTTTAGTTACTTTAAGGACTCCACCTTGAGCTTTATAACTATAGCCAATTGAGTCTAGACTTCCTAAAGAAACTAAGTTTCTTTTGAGCTCTGGTATGTATCTAACATCAGTAAGCCATTTTGAACTTCCATCATGCAAATTCAGCCTTACATCTCCCATTCCTAAGACTCTACAAACTGCATTATTTCCCATCAACACCTTCCTAGACTCTAGTTTCTTAAAGTTTGACAGAATACTCCTATTTGGATTCATGTGGAAAGAACAGCCAGAATCAAGTACCCATTCAACATCAGTTTCATTTTTAGAAACTACTAACACATCAGAACTCTCATAACCATCAGAAGCTATATCTACACTCCCGCTATCATCCTTTTCCCCTGACTTTTTCTTTATATCAGGACAGTCCCTCTTAAAATGACCTTCCTTATGACAATGAAAACATTTCCTAATGAATTTAGACTTAGATTTTGATCTACCCCTGAAATTCCCCTTCTTGTGGCCTTTCTTATCAGATCTTCCTCTTACATAAAACCCCTCACCATCTAGTTTACCTTCCTTTTTAAATTCAGCATCCTTAGTAGTAATTGCTACCACTACTTCATCTAGTTTAAAGGTTTGTCTGCCATACTTAAGGGTGTCCACAAAATTAGAAAAGATTTTTGGAAGTGAGTTTATAAGGATCACTGCTTGATCTTCATCCTCAACCTTAACACTAAGCCCTTCTAGATCCTGTACAAGTTTCATAAAGTCATTCATGTTTTCTCCTAATATTTTGTTTTCATCTATTTTAAAACTGAACAGTTTCTGTTTTAAAACTAACCTATTAGGAGAGGACTTTGACAGGTATAAAGAGTCTAGTTTTTTCCCAAATTTCAACTGATGTGGTCATTTTCTTAACTTCCCTTAAGACCTTATCCCCTAAACCTAGGATTAAGGTACTGTGGGGTTTATCTAACAAGTCTTTCTTCTCCTTCTCAGATAGGGAGTCTGGTAAACTATCCTCACCCTCTAAAGTATCAAACAGACCATCCTTAACTAAGATAGCCCTCATTTTCATCTTCCACAATCCGTAATCATTATCCCCTGTGAATTTCTCCACCTCAAACTTAGATTTGTCAGGTTCCTACCCCTCACAAATGCCCAGAGTAAAAAGCCCTAATTTACCCGAGACTAAATAGAAACCCTAAAAAAATTGCAGCTGTAAACAGAAAACCAGATCTAAGCCTAGATGCTTCAGATTCACAAAAGATCTCTTAACCTAGAAAAACCCTAGGTGCTAGAATGAGAACCTAGCTCTGATACCACTTGTTGCAATTAAAGAGACCAAATGAAAAACCAATAGCAAACCAACATCCAACACAGCAGATAAATCACAAAGAATAAATAGATAATAAACTGGAAAATAAAAGACACAATGATTTATAGTGGTTCAGTAATCTTTACAGATTATCTACATCCACTCTCCAGGGCAATAAGCAGATTTTACTATGAGAATAGAGAACCTTACAGAGATATACGCTCACCCTTTACACAGTGCACAAAACCCCTCTGTAAAACCCCAAATCTCCTCACCTTTCATACATAACACACAATAACCAAATGTTAGTGACAGATTTATACAGAAAGTGTAACAGAAAGAATAATCCATCTAAGACCCTAGCACCACCGTTGATTCCATCAACGCTCTTTAGATTTCTAGCGCATCCAGCAGTTCGTAACAAACTTTCTCTCTCTGTTAACCAAGAGAGAAAGCTCGAGAGAAACTGAAAATGAGCAAAACCTAATTTGGATTAGGTTTATTGAAGACTAGATATGACAGAATTGCCCCTTAGCTTTTAGCATAATAACTTTGACTGCCCAAGTTGTATTTTGACTTCCACGTGGGCATAAATCAATTGCCACCTCACAACATTACTCATGACAAAATAACATATAATAAAATTAATTTTGTTACAATATAATATATTGCTTGTAGTGCTACTTAACACTTTTGCATCTGCATCCCTTTTGGTCAACAAACTCACCTTCCATTTGATCATTCTTCCTTCACTCTTTTCGATCGTCGAAATTTGCCCACTGACGACCACTTTTCTGACTAATTTCATCGCTCTCTACTCCTCTCTTCTCTCTCTCTCTCTCTCTCTCTCTCTCTCTCTCTCTCTCTCTCTCTCTCTCTCTCTCTCGATTTCTTCCTTTCTTTCCCTTTCTTTCCTTTCGAAATTTGCCCACGGACAACCACTTTTCTGGCTACTTTCATCGCTCTCTCTCTCTCTCGGTTTCTTCCTTTCTCTCCCTTTCTTTCCTTTCTTTTCTTCTTTCTCTCTTTCTCTTCTCCATTTTCCCTCTGTTCTTTTCTTTGAAGGATCACAGCTCATAAAAAAATCTGGCAAATTTTAATTTAGTCCTCTCTGTTTCTAGTATCCCTACTCCCTTAGATGCTTCAAAATATAACACTTTAACCCCAAAATAACCAGATCAAACTGAAAAAATTCCATAAAATACAAGGTATTGCAAAAGCAATGAAGGAACAACTGGTATTGATCAATGGCAAAAAGTTCATTCATGTTCTTGAAACAGAAAGTACTAAATTCTGTTAATGAAATAAGTTCTCAATCAATGTTTGGTTTGTCATTGAATTGCTTTTGGCAGTTCCTTTTATTTATAATTAAAAAAAATTAAAATACTAAGCAATTTTCCCGTAAATCTACACCTTCATTCCTAAACATGATTGCTGATTTTGATTTTGACATGTTATTGTTTTTATAAACAATAACATTTATCGTTTCTAACAGAGATTTAGTTGTTAAACATTTTATTCATATCAATAAACATGTATATAGCCAAATCACTTCTTCAAAGTTTACAGATTCTTTCAATGTACTGCAATTCTCAGAACAATGGTTTTGGGAATATCAGAATTAATTGCGTGTATTAGGGACCTATAATTGTTCCCCTTTTAAAGTACACCTAAGTCTTTCCATCAAAGACAACTGCTAAGGATAACTGATCAACTATTGAGAAAGTGTTCAGTAGTTAAACATTATATAATAATATATAAAAGTGCAGGACCAAATAATAATTAATGAATTTTAATTAATTAAAATTCTAAAATTTGTACCTGTCACATGACAATTCTTCGCAGGCTTCAGTTCACTTTTACTGGCCTAAATGGATTAGCATCAAGTTTAGTTGGGAAGCTATTCTGATATTGGAAGCTGATCACTCGAGACCTCTAGCTATATCAAAAAAAAGCTCGAATTGGACTGCTTTGAATTCTTCGATTTATTCTTTTCAAAGATGTCTTTATGTTAATTTTTTTTTTCCCTTTCATCTATCGCATAATTAATTTGATTGATAATTATAAAATTAAATGCATATATGATATACTGATGTAATACGACTGTGATATTATAAACTTTCTCAATAGTAGACTATGTTCTTTATTAAGACATCAATGTACAAAATAGTAAAAATGATCAAACCAAATGCTTAGTGCATAACGTACAACCAAGAAAGCACAAGAAACACTTATTCCTGAATACTTGATCAAGGACTGAGGAGTCGAGACGGTTAATGTAGTCCTTCTGAATTTGAAATTGATCACTTAAGCCAATATGTGCCATAAGGAGGCAAACATGAGTGAGAAGCTCTCCTCCTTTTGTAAGTTGTTGACCATGTTCTTTCCATTGGCAACGGCTTGCGGCATATGTCAACATTTCCACCCACACTTGACTAATCATCTCCCATACTTCATCTTGTCTTTCCAATGATTTCAATTGCTTAGCAAGCTTACATCCATAAAATAGCACAGATTGACTTCTATCTCCTTTTATTTTTTCCATTGGAACATTAGTGTTCACTTGGAGCAACGCCTTGCAAGCTTCTTTAATCTTTTGGGATGTCGACATTCTCTGTTTAAAAAATCTCCTAGCCTCAGCACATGTATCTCTATACCTTATCTCACCAATACCTTTGGGCAACATAGATGGACAGAAAACTAGAAGATATAACATGTAATCTGACAACCCTTTGCTTATCTGATAGAACTCTTTATTTCTGTCAAAATCATCTGCTATATCATGGTAATAGAGATCAGTAGCAATATGCCAAAGAAGGAGGCTATGGTCGAATTCTACAGAAGTTGTACACCACTTAAAGTCTTCAAGAATGCCCTTGTTTGCAAGTACATAATCACCTCTCTGAGCCATTAATGGCTTGAAATTTTCTTTTATGTCAAATTGAGGGCACTGAATTTGATTACCTTTCTCCCGGAGCTGCTCACAGATCGATTTCTGGAAACGAACATCAATGGTCTTCCAAGTTCTGTAGTGGTACTTCTCTAACGTTTCCTGGATGCCAAATAACTTCTGAACTGCGAGACATTTGGCTGGCTTCAAGCAACCACTAATTAGGTTGTATTGTGCCATGGATCCTGACCACCTCGCACGTTTAGTAAAAAGTGGCTCAAAAGGAGAAGTAACAGCACGAATGAGATTAGCGAGTGGATTCTTGTTCTTGCTCAACCAAAGCTTTGTCCAATCAGAGATAATAAGTAGGATGAATCCGTAAACTTCAAGAACAAGAGCTCCAATTATCAACAAGTAAGTTATAATAATGTCAACTAAGGGGAGAGCATGCTTGTCAATGATGAGACAGAAGGCAACTAATACACATATTGCAGAAAAGAAGCTAATGAACCTGAGAATTATTCCTTTCTGCGAATAAGAAATAGTCGCCTTGGTGTAGAGCACATCGTACATGAATCCAAGCTCAACTGCTATCGGCTTGAAGGCGTCTTCAGGTGACTTCTCGGGAATAATTTTGTTGCAATCGATTCGCTCATTAGTTCCGAGGATAAGATCAGCAAAGAGATATTGGAACCTATTGAATAGGTTATCAGCTAAACGCAGATAATCAACCCCGGGATTAATTTCTGGCTGCGGGACCCTTGCTTCATCAAGTGAATCAGGCTCCACAATGGTGGATTCAAATGCTTCCACATAATTAGCATAATCAGGTCCAGGATTAGGATCAGAGAGCAAGGAATCTCTGAATTGCTTGGTGCTCGAAGATCTGAGAACCCAAGTCCTCTCGCCATACTTAATAATTCCGGTAATAAAAACTGGAATGGCAAGAAATGTTATGGCATTGTTGCTCCAAGACCTGACGATGACATAAAACGCTACACCAACTTGGACAAGCAGCCCAAGAAAATGTCTTAGCCACAAGTTATTGTCTGCTAAAGAGTAAGCGGTGATAGTGCCCGGGCCACCAAGGTGTAGAAGAAGGAATGGTGCCCAAAATGCTTGGAGCAGGTGGTTTGATTTCGAATAATTATTTTTAAAATCCCCACTGTTTCTGGCAAGGATGCCTAAGGCAACAGTTGCCACCCAATCTGCTGACATATATGCTAGCCAAACTAGGATCTGTATCCAGGTTCTTGCTATATATTTTCGTCGTGAACCAAATATGATGAGAATGTATTGTAAAAAAAGGCTAAGTAAAATCAACATTCGGATTTCCCATCCATTCCAAAGCTTGCTGAATTCGTCTACAAGATGCTGCATTTTGACCTCCTATGATATTTTCCTGAAAAATTAAAACGAGCAACTCAAATCGATTGACGTGCCAAGATTTTTAGTCAATGAAGTCAAAATTTTTAAGTTGATAAATTTATAATAAATTATATATTGAAGTAATAAGCATACAAAAATGTAATCTAAAAAATTAATTTTAAAAGTTATACATATCAAATTATCAATTATATAATTGTCCTTAACAATTTTTCATATTATAAAAACGTTGCATAAAAACCACACATATTACCCAAAATTAACTAAACCCAACACCTTCAATATGCAATTATGTTAATTATATGTATAACTCGTGATCTTTCATCAATTAAAAAGATAAAAGAAGAGATTTTTAAGCAAAAATAACAAAAAATAAGTATCATCTTACCTTGTGATCTCTAAAAAAGTAGTCTTTCTTAATTAATCCAACCAAAGGAATAAGAAAAGAGGAAAGGAAATGAAGAATAGAGAAAATGTGAAAAATTGTTAGTTAATATAAATTTCAGCGGGACAAATATAAATTTAAGTGTGATCAAATTTATTAATTACTATAAAATATAAATCTATTTTAATTAATCTCAAATTTTCAGTGAGTCCAAGTGAACCCAATAGAGAGAGACAGTGATGTTATTAAGAAAATTTAATATTGATTTTCTACATATTTCTACATAATATTTGTTCTTTCTCTTTTTTTTATTCAATTATCGGGTTTACCCAAAAAAAAAAAAAAAAATCTATTTTGAACATACTTGGAAAGTTCATGCTTGTACGTATTTGAATAAAACTAGACATGCTAAAAGTAATTTTACGATAGATGTAGGAATGCTGTTGTAATAAAATATGGCTGGCTTACCAGAAAAAATATAAATTCACCCAATTAAAGAAGTTGCAATTCAGATGCAGGTAGATTAATTGGGCTGTCTCTGATATTGTTGCCTGAAGAACCACAAAGTGTCGTAACTCAAATTTTGAATCTAGAAAAGCAAGTGTTGAATCTAATATGTCAGTAACACAATAGCTAGTGTAGATGGAACTGTGGAAAGAAGTATATTAAAGCTTAATTATGCAGAATCAAGCTGCTTTTTTATTGCAAAAGCTAGGTTGGCGATTGAGCAAGGAAAGAATTTAGTACCTGGATTAGTGATGAAGCAAAGCATTTGAGCAAAAGCTAAAATATATAGGTTGTGTTTATAGTAAAACCTCTTTATAAACCTCAAGGGGTTAGTCTGGCGATTAAAGAGGTTTGCTCATTTCCTTGAATTTTTTGGTTCAAATCTTAAAACTACCTACCACAATAACATTGTGGTTTACCTGTTCCTTTAGACTTATAAGGTGTCCAACGGGGTTCTAAAATTAATTGAAGTGCGCGCAAGCTAGCCTAAACACCCCGATTATTTAAAAAAAAAAAAAAAAAAAATTTCTATAACGATACTCTATATAGGAATAACCTCTATCTAGTAATAACATTGTGGTTTACCTGTTCCTTTAGACTTATAGGGTGTCCAACGGGGTTCTAAAATTAATTGAGGTGAGCGTAAGCTAGCCTAAACACCCCGATTACTTAAAAAAAAAAAAAAAAAAACTTTCTATAATGATACTCTATATAGGAATAACCTCTATCTAGTAATAAAAAATTATAGTTCCAACTTGAGATAGTTTTAAATAAGAATAAACTTCACATTGTAATAAGTTATAATATTCTTAATTCCCGTTTTAAGAAAATTGTCTCCACATAAAAATTTATTATATTTATATTAAAAATATATATATGTTATGTTACATCAAAGGTTTAAGATAAAATAAAATATTTATATAAAATTATTTGGTACAATGATTTATGTTTTAAAGTTGTTACCATATCTTTTAACATGCGGATACATAATAACTCGCTGGTATGGACACATTCTTATTGAAGTCAAAATATTTCTGCGGATACGTAATAACTCGCTGGTATGGACACCTTTTTATTGAAGTCAAAATATTTCTAGCTTCTCAAGCATGTTTAGAGTTTCTTAACATGAAACTTTTTGTATTTTGTACTATCATCCTCAGAATTATCTCATTTCTCTTTTTGTCTAATTGCAGCAATGATTACAAACAATGAATTAAAATCTTAATACATACTATTAAAAGGTAAATTATAAAATAAGAAATCAAAATAACAATTTTTATAACTATACTTCTATTAAGTTATAATCTCCTTATAATAATAAATTAGTTTGATGTCACCATAATCACTATAAAAGTATTTTTACTGTATATACAAAGATCTAGACTGTAATTACCTCATTTTATCCATAAGTCATAATCCTTATGTTTCCAATGTGTGTTTATCAATTAATATTATATAATCTCTAACACACAACTTTGATTGATATGATTATTTCTTTTACCTTTCTCACCAAAGGGCAAAGAAATAAACTAGGGGAGGACAGAGACAGGTAGGACCTCCTCCTACTGTGGACTTAGCTTTTTTAGCATCTTTAAACACGTGAAACTTAACATTACTCTGTAGCTAAAGATCATTCTCCATTCCATTTTTTTACTTTTCGTGAATCTATAAATCACAAACTTTAACTTTTTGTTGAAGTAAAATTTACATGTCCGTTAAACTTAAACAGTGGTTTCTTAATAATTCACTTACATATTCGTTTCTTTTTTAACTGGGGATGATCGGATTAGTTTACACGTACTGTAACTAATCATTTGAGACATTATAATTACTAACCGGATAAGAGCTCCAGTGATCATCTCTATTAACATTGTATATTCCTCTATGATGTGGAGACGGTATATATAGGTAAAGTGACTATATAAAAATGAGGAAAAAAATCCCTTAAACTAGGAAACAACCTATTTCAAGGAAAACTAAATATTCCTATATTAAATATATTTAAACAAAATATTCTAGAATTACATGGTTTTGCAAAGAATTACAGAATTCAAGATGTTCTGCTTGATACCCAGGACACAGTTTCTGCTTTTAATAGATAGGTTCTGCAGAGCATTTGAAAAGCTCAAGGAAAATAGTTGATCCAAAAACTGGGGAGAATAAATGGGAAAAGTGATACCTTGCGGTGATGCTGGTTTAGGTATTCGTGAAGTTTTTTCAAAGCTATTCCGATTGTCTTTCCGTTTCGTTCAGACATGGAATTTCTTTCAAGCAAACTATTTGCAACTGCTTTTACAATTCCATTGCTTGCTTTACCTGTATTTCAGTGAAGAGCGAGTACTTGCAGAATATTAAGAAAAGCAGATTCCTGAAATATTTGTTTAAAGTTGTTTCAAAATTTGGAAAATATGCTGACCCTTTACTACTCTTCTCAAAATGGGAATGTTTAAACAGAAAAGAAAGCTCATGAACACAAAAGATAATTGCCAAAATGCAATGCATTAAGCAGAATACGAAAATAATTATAAACCCCCGCATTTTCTGAAAACAAGCTTAGCTTAGCAATTTTACACTTTATGTTATATACAAGTTTCTTGGAGGGTTTTCATTTACTATACCCCAATAACACAAAAAATGTGAGAATGGTCGCCAACTAGATGGCGATGGGAACACAATGTTGAAGACCTCTTTCAGATTCTTGCAGCCTATGATTTTCATCTTCTCCAAAGCTATACTTGCTAGAGATTTCTCGGCTGATTTGGGGACAATACATTTTTCATATCCTAGTCTTGCCACTGTACTCGCCCTTTTCTCCATTCCCGGTACCTATAATATTGCAATAGGGAATAGAACCATAAAGTGTGAAAACAGAGACTTGCTAAACTAGAAACAAGAATCTAAGAAGGCATGTGCCCCGACTGTGCAAGCATATATGTAATAATGTCGTGGAAAGTCACTTCGAATTTAGAGATTAGATTTGTGCTCACCATGCGAAGCTCACCACCAAGGCCAATTTCGCCTATGAATAAAATGCCATTAGGAATAGGAAGCCCCAAGAAACTGAATAAGAGAAGAAGATTAGCTTTCATTTGTTCAGGAAAAATAAAGTGCCTGCAGCATACACATAAACTAGAGAACCACAGAAACATGACTCAAAGCAAAATCAATCAAGATTATCTTGCATAAATCATGGTAGTAATGTAAAGATATCTCCATGTCATAATTATAATGTGTGGGATAAACCGAAAGATACCAAAAGCTAAGAGAAAATGTATAAACCCATATATAGAGAGAACATAAGAATTAGTTGAAGAGGTAAGCAATGGACCAGCTACTGAAAACACATGCCTGCTACAAATTGCTGCTGCTACAGCAAGATCCCCAGAAGTCTCTGTCAGGGCCATCCCACTAACAACATTTAGAAATATGGCCTGGTGTAAAAAGATTTAAAAGAACGAAAAATCAAATATAAAAGTAAACAAAAGAAGTAAAAAACAGTAGGCCATACAGTAACTAGAAAATAACTATAACCACAAAGCTTATGGCATCCTCTAAATAAAGTACAGCCAATGAAGGGTCTATTAGGTATTTTCCATTGCTTACAAATACCATATATTTAGACATGAAAATCGCCAATGCATCTGGTGAATGTATGATTGTATGTATAACAATTTAGAAGTACCAATTTCAAAATATTTATTATGCCTGCACATGGTGCACATGTAGATCAAAAACAAAGGAAAGAATGAATTATAGAAGACCCTAACATGATAAAAGTCCCTTTTGAAATTATGGGAGAAAAGAGTAAATAGTGATAAGGAAATCATTTATGAAAAGATAAATAGTATGTTAAGAAACTTACGTTTTCTCGAAGCTGCAGACCAGCTTGCTCCATGAGAACCTATAATTCCAGAGAGAAGTTGTCACAATTGAATGCTTTTGAATGCAACATGCTAAAGATTACTTGTTAGACAGAAGTATAAAATACATTAAATCAATTTGGAAAAGTAACATCATAACAAATGAGTCCTGAACTTTTAAATTGTCCTAAAAAAGATGAAGGAATATGGAAATAACATTTTGAATACCATTTCCTGAAAATGAATACCATACTGGATATGATGGAATTAGGTTTTGTTGATGTTGGATCAATTTAAATATAAGGTATATTTAGCAGCGCTTTTTTTTTCTGTTTCTAAAAACATTTTTTCAAGAATGTGTACAGAGCACAAGTTTCGTTTTCTAAATTCTGGTATCCATTTGTACAGGTGTAAGTTGTAGTATAAGTTTTGAATGCTAAGCTTAGAGTATTTATACCTCGTCATGAAAGTTGATATATTTTTACTCAGTCACATGAAAAGAAATTGTGTTCATTCAAAATAATCTCTGGTAAAGCAGAAAATGACATAAACATGTTCTTGATAGTAACTCATCAGGGTGTTCTGACAAAAGTATGAAAGCAGTCTCTACACATTGTTAGCTAAATAAGTTGTCTGCTGCAGATAACACATGATCGTTTAGAGGGAAAAAAAAAAAAAAAAACATTTTCTGTAACCAGGGAACCAAACATGCACCAATTTATGCTTTTTATTAATTCAAATTTTAAACCAACTATTAAACATTGTGTTAAATGTTTTGCCTGTATGCTTCCTAAGTAACTAAATGGGGTTTTTTGGTACTGAACTATTCAATCAATGCCTATGTGAAGCTTAATGTCTCATAAATGGCAAGACATTCTCAAAAATAACTTCCTCGATTCATATAGGCCTTCCTAGCCTGGAAACTAGAAATAGTTTAAGTGGTCTAGTCATCTAACAACTATAGCTACTCTGATAAGAAACTATTAGAAACAGCAAATACGTAATCAGCAAATACAGTGAAGCACAACAATACCTTTTAAGAGAAAATTTCTTTTCTATAGGAAGAGAAACACAACTACTATGGCATGCATGTGATGACAGAAGAACTTAAGTTAGTACTTACTGCAATAATCATGTCAGCTCTGCTTGCTTTGATACCATTGACATGTTTTGAAAATCCGTAGCCAGACAAACATAAATCCTACATGAAAATCCAGAAAGTCGATCAAACATTTAAGTACATGCAAGGAAACTATAAGTCAGAAATTTTTAAGAAGTTTAGGCCAAAAAGAATACTAAACATTGGCTAACAAAGCAACAGGATAACCATAAAATCTGACATCTTAGCTCACTCAACTTAAGAAATTCCACCAAAAAATTCTTAACCTCCCAAAATAAAACTTATCTTAGATGGATTTTCCACCCCTTGAAGCTGTTGGTTTAACACACATCCACAAATTATTTACTTTTAACTCTGCAAGTCTAAATTACAAGAAAAAAGGACGCACAGAAGTACACTAAAAGACAGCACCACAGAATACTAATAGTAGGTCTGTACCATACGTACATAATCAGTAAAAATAAAAATTGGAAAACATATAAGCACAACACAGTGACACAAACGAGTACAAATAACTATTTAAGTACATCAATTATAAGCCTTTTAGAATGTTTGATTATCCTTAATATAATGTTATAACATAATAGATCTGGAAACTAAACAAGTTTACCATATTCATTAAATTGGACTTACCATTCTAAAACGTGTTACAAGAAGTAGCAAATGTGGAAAAAGCTAACAATTTATAAAAACATTGGAAAGCACCTGAATTTCAGTAAGGAATGTCCGAGTACCATCCATAATAACAGCAACAGCAAGTCCAGCTAAAACATCAGAATCTGAGTGCTGCTCACTTAAAAACATCTGACTGGGGTTTGTAACAACTTGCATTCCTAATTGAGACATTTCAAATACCCCAATCTGAAAGTAAAGATAAATCCTCAACAATGGTCGATAAGATAATATTTTCTCCATATTGAGTAAGAAAATAAACTCCATCTTTGTTATGTTAATAAATTATCTGCATATACTAGCACCTGTTCGAACTGCCATCATCTATAAAATCATTATTACCTCATCAATGGACCCGAAACGATTCTTCAGAGCTCGAAGCAGACGATAAGATGAGCACTTCTCACCCTAAGATTAGCATTCAAAAACACAAACACTCAGAGATTTTCTTCATGGCATTAAGCAAAGTATGATTCATAAAATAAGGACTTCCTGGCAATCAGCAAACAACTAGAATGAAACGCATCAATAAAAAATAAAAAATTCTTAAAAGCCAACAAAATCAACTACGAAGAAAAGAAATTGTTTTAAGGTACAAACTTCCACATATAAGACAGCATCAACAATGTGCTGGAGAACATGAGGCCCAGCTATGTCACCAGATTTTGTCACATGCCCAGCCTGAATAAACAGAAGAGAGGGAAAAGTGAGAAAAGAGCAGAAGCATAAGAGATCAGCCTATAATATTAACCATGTTCAACCCATGCAATTTGATTACAAAAATTACAGGTAGAAAACATTCACATGAACACCTAGAAATAAGCCATCAATCTACACAAACAATTATTTTGATGAAACAAGGTCCTAAATGTAAATATAAAATTAAACAGCAACAAATCGAAAGCCGAGAGATCATTACCAAAAAAAAAAACTCGCTGTAGTTCCTTTGTAGATAAGTAAAAACAGAAATAATTTAGAGTTGTACATCGGCCACCAAATAAGGAACAACTGATCAATAGATTCAACATTCATGTAGCATATGCTTAGAATTTAACATAACACATTTCAAACACCTAGTATCACATTTTCCCATTAATTGTGAAAGTGCTCTCACTCTATTAAATTGAGTTTAAAAAGAATTCAATAAACTTAATGTGTTCTCACCAAAAGAATTGGGATGTTGGACTTCTTTGAAAAACGTAGCAAGGCCAAAATACATTCCTTCACCTGTTGTACACCAATACAATGTTATACTCAGAAGAAAATGCAATCACAAAACCACCCTATAAGATTAACCGAAATAAATATAACATCAGTTGCAACGCTCATGTTAAGAACCCGAAAGTACAAAGTCTGCCATCCTTAATTCTTCTCATTTCTATTCAGAAATGTTAACAGTTGGGTTGCAGAGCAAGGTTAAAATTTGAATATAATGCAAAATTATTTCACAAATGAGAAATTTTTACAGTTGTTATCAACTAGAAATAGGTTGTTACAATTAAAGAATCCTTTGAGCTATGTCATTTCATACATCATCTCACAAAGATCATAATAGAAGCAGCATATAAGTCAAACAGATTAAGCTAAAACATGCATTCAGACTTGGCAGGACTATAGACTATAAAAATCAACCTGTATGAGCCCTCCAGCCCTTCGGTTAACTTTCTTTAAATAAACTGTTTGAATTGAATCAATTATTAGCACCCGAGGGGAGAGGGGCTGAACTTTTTCTAATATGTCCTGAAATCAGAAAAAGATACCAATTATTTTGGGTATCCTCCATGATGCTCCAGATCCAAAAAACTAAACATAATATTTGCTTTCATGATAAAGCTAACAAATTTGGCAGCTGAGGAAATGTATCAGCCAATTACAAAGATAGCACTCAAAGAATACTTAGTTCTATACTACTTTCTGCATAAGAAAAAAAATTATTTGATCATGACATGCATAATACAAACAAACTTTCTGAACCAAAAATCTTCTTGGCATCCAAAAAAATTAGAAGATCATGACAGTATTACATAAACAAACATTCTTAAACAAAAATCTTCTCTGCACCCATTTATAACAGATATTTTGGTGCAAGTACAGATGAAGTTAAGTAATTGCAAAGAAAAAAGTTGATTTGATGTAAATACACAAATCACCAAAGGAGGGGTGGATAGGAAGAAATGATTGCTCCTTATCCCTCACAATGCACTCATGTTACATATAATCAAAACGGTACAAAAAGGCAAATTTTCACAATCAAGTTTAAGAAAATAATAATTAAGTCAATCAGATATAAAAATCATAAACATAATAGTGTTGTTGTGTAGAGGAAAAGATCAGAAAAGTCGGTCATAAGAAAAATTGGCATAAAAATAGGGACCTCCACATCAGTACTGGAATACAAGAAAAGTTCGTCTGTTCCAATCTCCATCCGATCAGCTCTATTTCCAATTTGCTCAACACTCTGTCACAATGAGGAAACAAAAGGGAAACAAATATTACTCTAAAGTCTTAAAGGTGTCTTGATGTCTGCATATCCATAATGAAACCACAATTGCAACTTTTTAACGACAACATATAGCATGATTTCCCCATCCAGATGCTAAATAGGCTTCCAGAAACTAACCTAGAATCAAATAACCCAAGATCTATTCAAAGAATTTTAAGCATGTCTCCCATCCGATGAAGTTTTCAGCAAACTATCAGTTAGATATAACGAAACAATAAAAATACTATAATTCATTTCCAAAGAGTGAACATAAATATGTTTAGATGTTTGACAAATTAAACCGTGCAGCAAACAATCTCTTCAAAGGTCCTACAAAAGTAAAAGCTATTTAATGACCAACTAAAAGACCCCTAAGAAACAAAGAAAAGCAGAAGCCTAAAAGGGTGGTCAACCCTCCTTAGAACTTTAGTTCTCTCCGTTTTGTAAAACACATCTCCACTATTAATAAAAAAAAAATGAAAATCTATTATTTTGTATATAAAGAAAAGAATCAAATATTTATAATACAACAAAACACACACGGAAAATAATTAGAAAGCTGGAAAATGTATACGACGTGACATAGTCATGCTTTGAATGAAAAGAAAATTATCAACATGCAAACACTAACCTCTTCACCAGAGACATACACAACCGGAGCGGGTTCACCAACATCACGGCCTTCAGCTATTATTGCGGCCATCTGCCAGTTCAAATGTAAAAATTGGCATGAAAAGAAAGCTATTATTACACAAAAATGAATCATGCAATAAATCAAGGAATTAAACTCCTCAGCATTTTGATAGAGAATTCATATGTTTGTCTATAGAATGAAGATCCATGAGAAAAAATCTAACCCTTGCAGCAGGAATTACATACCTGCAACAACAGTGTGCTCTTGCCAACACCAGGATCGCCACCAACCAAAACTAAAGAGCCTGTATACCAGCAATCATAAAAATGAAAAAATAAAATTTGAAATATCCAATTTACAGGGGAAAAAATTCTTAAGGCACTAAGGCCATTCTTTTAACAAGCTGATGCTGCAAATAGAAGGATTCATGCTGTCAGCCAGAATAGCATAGTGAGGTATTACAATAAATATTTCTTTGAACACAGCGCAACTTTTTGTCGGCTAAAACTGAATTTCGAGAACAGAGGCCGCATAGGTAGTAAATCTGACAACAAGATGCGATACATGCAAAGGGAGGTAAGTATAGTATCTAATGCTATTGAAGGCCCAAATAAGATTTTAAAAGGTTGGCTTCCAACTTCCAAGAATTGTAGCTAATACATACAGAGTTTTTATCATATCTCTAATAACCACTATCAAATAAATTCAGCATCAACAAAGTAAGAAAACAAGGAAGTTAATAACTCCAAGCAATTAACGAAAATAAGAAATAGAAACAGTCACATGAAACAAACCTGGTACAAGACCACCACCAAGCACCCTAGCAACTTCATTCCCTAAGGGTCCAGACCTAATATCAAGAGACACAAGAACCAAAATGGAAATCACAAGTACCTTCCATTATAAGAATCTCGGGTTAAACTTTGCTTAATATAACTATTTGTAAAGGCAGACTTCAGATTCACTTTGACATGAACAAAACATTCACAAGTCCATTATCTCATTTTTCTGACAAGGAAGCCAGTCCCCTCGATCTCTACCCAATTGACCACACTAATCACATCTGTTCATCCATATTAAAAAATCTCAAATTAAAACTTACCCAATACACGAGAAGAAACCCCAAATGATTCGTAGTCTTCCATCTACTCACTCCACTTGACCCTACTATCCCTCACAGATTTCTTCATTACCAAAGGTTGCAATATCTTACAGTTGTTCCAAATTTCCGACCTGGTTCACATGCAAGTAAGACCAAGGGATTTTTGGGTATCACTAAGCAGAGAAGTGCTAGCAAAAGTTGGTTAAGTCACTTGCTATAACACTCCACTCCATGTACGCGATATTTATGTAGATTGACAAAACCAAACAAGACATATAGCATCACTCAGGAAGTGAATTTAACTCATGCTCACATTTCTCTAAGGCAAACATTAATGAGAAAAAAATTTAAACTTTTAAAAACAAAAATAAAACCAATTATATCACTTCAAATATTCACTGCTTACAGAGGAATTCTCCGATTCAACTGACTAATCCCCTTGTTCACATCTCGCAAACGCTTTGGCTGCACCTTTTCCGGCTTCTGCGGCTCCACCACGCGTCCATTTCCACTATCCCCTTCAGAAAACCTCCTCATCGTCCCCACGCTCTCACACGATCGACACATCCCCCACCACTGCCCCTCCGTGTGGCCACAGTCGGCACAAACCCAACTTACACTATTGCCCTTCCCTTTCTTCTTATTTCCCATTATGTCCCCAACGCCCAAACTACCCTTCTTCTTCGTGTGGGGTTTCTCCAGATCCCCTGAACTTTGACTTCTTAACTTCCCACAACCCTCTCCAAATCATCACCAACACTCGACTCTGGCACCGGGACGGGCTCCGCCTCTCGAGCTTCTTCACTGCCTTCAACCGTCTTTTTGGTAACCAGACCGGCAGTGACAGGATCATAAATAGACCATACACCATGGAGATTCTGGGTTTTGGGTGGATGGCTGGAGTCGGGTTCGGAGCAGAGACGAGGGTGTACGGAGTGGATTTGGCAGGAAAATTGAGGAAATTCGCGAGAAAGAGAATGGGTTGGTTTGAGGAGTGGGAGAAGATGTTTAGGAGAGTGGAAGCATCTGAGAGCTGATTTCATTACTGGGAATTGCATGTGAAAGAAAGAGAGGACTTTAGAGTTTTGTTAGGAGTTTGCATGGGAAGAAACCGCGAAAGTTTTCAAAAGGAGGGTATGTATATATGTAAAATGAAATATGCTTTATTGTCCTTTGCCTGGAAGACTCATAGACGACATGTAATATTTGTTATAAACCCTAGACTCGAAATTCAGTGACTAACCCCGAAAATACGATAGAGATAAATTCTCAAGTGGAAATAATAAAAGATTTTATTTGAAAACTTAAATTCATTGATTATTGTTTGTAAAATAACAAGTGTATTTATACTACATTAATGGTAATAAGAAATAAGAAAATCTTAAAAATAAGGAATCTTTAAATAAGAAAGTAAACTTTAACTAAATTTAAACTTCTTAAATCAATTAAACCCCTAATTAAAATAAGTAAGAAAATCAAATTAAAAAAAAAAGGAAACAAAATTAAATCATAATTTATCAATATTTTTTCTACCTCAAACCACCAAGAGTTTCATACGAGGTTCTCTCCAAAGAGGGATGATGTTGAGTAGACCAATCACAATGTGAACAAAGCAATGCATAAAAGCTATTGTTCTTCCCACAGTTGATTGCCCCTTCAATGGTCCTCCCTGGTTAACAGTGGCAATCAAAACGGCTACTAGTGGCTCATGCTCCAATCCCAGTCCTCCTATCCTTGGGATCTGTCGATGCGATGAGAAGAGTAAGAAGAAAGGACCACGATCCTAGTTTCTTATTTCTTTTCTTCTTTGTAGAGTTTGTGTGCTCTCTTTGGCTGTTTGTCTCTTTTTGTATTTCTAGTTATAAGTTTGCGTGCTCCTTCATGGATATTTATTATGATGCTTTTTGTGATGGCGCTTGTAAATTTCTATCAGTTCTTGCCTGTGTTTTTGCCCCTGATGCTTTTGTTCGTGCAGGATTTTCGAACTCTTTCTTTTCTGCGATGAGGACTTCCGTTTAGATAAACTATTATCACGAACTTCTGGTTTCCGTCCATCTTGATTCTGAATTGCATCAACTCCTATTTCAACTTCCATTTTCGATGTTGACAAGTGTTGTGCTGAGTTTCTGTTCAACATTATATTTGTTTTTATTTATGACGTACTCTGCTAACTGGCATAAGAGTTAAGGTGTTCAATCAGGAAACACAATTAAACCATAAAGAATTAAAATGTCCAACTAAATCTGCACAATTATGGATTTTAGTGTCAGAACATATAGATAAAGAACTTGAGACAGGCAAACAAGTAACTCTCAAATATAATCATAGATGTATATCTTTAGATCTCCAGAAAACTTGATGATTTAACTTCTGGCCTAAGTTTAATAATTTCCATGACCAATTCTGTCTCCGTTCTTTGAAGCAATGTGTAATACTGAATTCAACATTTTCTAGAGCTGATCTTATAAAGTATGCATATCATTCATTCCTATTGCAGCAAACAGCCTTGGATCCATCTCCTAATATTTTTGGTTTTTCCAAAGCAAGCTAAATTTGCACATAGCAGGACTTGCAAGATCCACCAGAAACTGGAAATAACAGATGATATATAATTCACAGCTTCATCCTTTCCGGTAATCTTCCTAACTCCTTCGAAGAAACTTCTAATATCCAATTAGGCTGACAAATTCTACTGGATTTTTCATTAAAGTGTGACTAAACTTATGTAAGTTTAAAAAAAAAAAAAAAAAAAAAAAATGGTGTTTGAGAATTAAATATGAAAAATTCTAGTCTTACATATACATTTGTTTTCACGCTTCATAGTTTATTTATTCTGTTGTTTCAAGTTTTAACTGATATATTAATGCCTGAATTGTGACCAGAACTTGCTCAGATGAAAATGTTGTATAAAATACTGAGAATTTAATCTCATTTGCCCTACAAAGCTACCAATATTAGAGAAGTTAACCTCTAAATCTCCATTAATGAAGTATGGATTCAGCATTATAAAATTGCTAATTACAGATCAAGCAAACAAGTAATTTCAAACTTTCTGGCGTTTCCAGAATGTCAAAAATGGTTAAGCAGAAATAACAATTTATACCCATAAAAGCATAATGGAAAGTCAATCTTTTTAAAATATATTTATTAAAGAAAATGAAAATCATAGTGTTTTAACAACAAAAGTGGATGAATTGATGTTTATATATACATGGACAAATTTCAGATATCTCTTATATTGAGCAAAATATTATACAGATTTGTCTGTTAAGGAATTAATTTGTATATACTAAACAATTGTATTGTTAGTTACAGTGTAGTCAATTAGGGTTCGTTTGGTTCATTATTCTGATACTTTTTAGAATAATATTTGGAAAAAAATGTAAAATTAAGTTATATTTACGAGAAATGTAATTATTAATGTTTTGTGAGATAAATAAAGTAGAATAAGATTTTGAAAATATTAAAACAAATATGTTTTTGGGTGTTATCTTTATTGGGAAAATCAGAAAAACATTTGAAACAGTATACCAAATGAAGCCTTAGTTAGTGATTGGTATAGTTAAGTCTGCTGGTCAACTCCAGTTAAGATTACTCGAGTTAGCTTGCACAGTTAGTTGGGCAAGTTGGAGTTAGTTTACTAAGTATAAAAGTGCTGTAACATTAGTTAATAATTAATTAATCTACAGAAAAGTTTTTTTCCCGAAATGCATTCCCTTCTTCATCGATTATATCTTCTTCAACATGGTATCAGAGCGTGATTTTTCCGCAAGATTGATCTGAAATTGGCTTGATCAGACTCTCAATTTCACTCTAATCAAGGTCAAAGAAGCTCAATCTCTCTCGTTTCTTCAATTTTAGCTTAGTTTCTCTGAAGCTTCAATTTCGTCGATTATGGCGACCTCAAATCAAGAATCTGCGATTCTCTCAATCGACTCCAATTCTCCTCTCTATGTTCACCCCTCAAATACAGCAGGTTCTGTTCTTGTATCTGAACAATTAATGGGGACTGAAAATTATGGAGTATGGAGTTGGGCAATGACAGTGCCTTTATGTGCGAAGAACAAGTTAGGTTTTGTAAATGGGACATGCACAAAGACATCAGTTCACTCACAGTCAGTGCCATAGTGGGATCGATGCAATTCTTTGGTGCTTGCGTGGATTTTTAACTCGGTATCAAAGGAGATCTTCAATGGGATCGTCTATTCTACTGATGCTTCTCAAGTTTGGCAAGACTTGAAGGAGCAATTTCACAAGGTTAATGGAACAAGGATTTTTGGTCTTCACCGAGAGATTGTCTATCTCACGCAAGGGACAAACACAGTGGCAGTATACTATAACAAGTTGAAGTCTCTTTGGGATGAGTTGGACTCATTAGTAATCTTACCTGCTCCATATAGTGTTTCTACCAAGGCTTTTCTTGAGCACCTCAATCAACAGAAGCTATTACAATTTTTAATGGGTTTGAAGACTCAAATTCGATGTTGAGGAGCCAAATATTGCTTATGAATCCTTTGCCAAGTGTTATGCAATCTTACTCAGTTGTTAGTCAGGATGAAAGCCAGAAAATTCTTACGGGAATGAGTGTCAATTCAGAAGTTTTCACTGCTTTGTATGCTCAGAATAATGGCAAGGTTCAGAATTCAGGCTAGAAGTACAAGTGTAAGAAACCCTATGTTGAGTGTGAATATTGTCTTTTGCTTGTTCTGAAAAGGGAAAATTGCTATAAGTTGATTGGATATCTAGTAGATTACCAACTAATTCTAAAACAAAGGCTGTTGTTGCCAATCAAGCACAGACACAGAATTCTGTTTTGGACTCATTGGAAGCTGGGAATGGTAATGCCATTAGACCTGTTTTAACACCTGAATAATATAGTCAAATTCTTCAGCTTTTGGGTAAGGAGAATGTCACACCCCATGCTACCAATCTTGCAGGTATAATTTTTGGCACTGTAAATGCTTACTTTTCTTGCTAAAGAATGATGTTTGGATCATAGATACAGGGGCTACAAACCATATTACTTGCAATTATTCTAGCTTACAATCACCCATCACTTTAGAACCTTCTTCACAAACGCTTGTAGGATTACCTAATGGCACTAAAACACACATTAAACATGTAAGTTCTGTGGAATTGGCCAATGGTTTTCACCTTACAAACCTGTTACATATTCCAGAATTTAAGCACAATTTGTTTTCAGTGTCTAAATTCACCAGTTCAAATAATTGTGTTATCAATTTATATCCTGATTTTTGCCTCGTTCAAGATCTTTACAGTGGCAAGTTTTGTGGATTTGTTTTCTTTTTCTATGTTTTTTTTTTTTTTTTTTTAATTTTATTTTTTTCTTTTTTTTTAATTTTTTAATTTTTTAATTTTATTAAACTGTTTGTCAGTCTTCAAATGATCCTGTACCTACTGTTTTACAATTAAATAAAGATACTTTACCTAGTTCTTTTTTATCCACTACTGCATCTCCTAATATTGAATTGTGGCATAAAAGACTAGGTCATACTCCATATTCTGTTTTGCAGCTTTTGCATCCCAAATTACATTTGACTAAATCTGTACCTTCACACTGTTTGTTTGCCCTTTGGCTATAGAGTCTTGTTCTCTCATAGCAGTACTCAATCTAGTTGTATTTTTTATTTGTTACACATTGATATTTGGGGTCCATATAGGAC